AGAAGCAAATCAATTAACACTACAGAAATGGTGCACACTTCCAAAAATCGTGTCAGAAAGTCATATATCGTTATTGCATTCATTTCAACTTATGGTGGAATTTGACGAAGCAACTAAAATATTCTCCAATTTATCAAATTATATTCAAAGTTTAGATAATCAAAATGAAATTAGAAATGTCATTTCGAGTTGGAGAGAAAGATTACCAAACATGTGGGATGATATTAACATTTGGAGTGACATTGTTGCTTTTAGAAAACACATTTTTAATGTCATTAGTAAATCATTTGAACAGTTTCAAAATTTACAAATAAATTCTAATCACCGGTACCAGATGTAACAACACATGAACCTACTCCAAATAAAGTACTAGCTGATAGTTTACACAGTTTCAAAGTTTTAACAGAATGTCCTATTATTGTTGTTCTAATTTTTCAATCACATCGTAATGTAGTAAATGGTAACATCCTAAACTTCCTACCACTTATTATAAGGGTATCTATCTTATTGTTATTACTCCTGATAATTATCTTTTTTTATTTTAAATAAATGAATCAATATATACTTAGCAATTAATTATTTTACTTTTTTGTCCAATTTCATTTTGAACAATAGACATTAAGTCTTCAGCCTCGACCACAAGCTGAGGCACATGAATCAGCAAAAGCTAGAGGGGAGATTTTTATTGGTGTTGCTCCAGGGATAAGAGATAGAGTGAAATATACTGAATTTATCGTTGCTCAAGTTAAAGTATGATTAAGAAACATACTATTCACCGGATAATCAAACCTTCTTTAAAAAATAAAAATAGTAATTCATTTTTTTAATTATTATTTAATTAGACATTAGCCTTTTTAGCATACGTTTTAAGAGCTTATACAGCAGAATTATCTCATTACCAAGATCAAGTTCCAGAATTTATTATTCGTCTTCTTCATGATTGTCCTGCAGAGGCATCATCTACCAGAAAAGTAATACATCTAAAAGTTAATTTGTTTATTTGTTTATTTGTTTATTTGATTTATTAAACAAAAATACAAAAATAATAAATTTATAGGAACTTTTGGTAGCTACTCGACACATCCTTTCAACAGAGT